TTTACTTTGTGGCTGAGCAGCACATACATTATTGTCTTTCCCTTTCAACTACCATATTTTCCCATTTATAAGACACTCCCATGTATAAGACACACCTTAATTTTGGGGCCCGAAATTTGAAAAAACTGTATTACATAAAGTTATTGAACTCAAGTTTTAGTCATCATAAAATTCATACAACTCCTCATCACTTGCAGGAAATGCAAGTAAAAAAATCTACAACCGCTGTATAAGACGCACCCAGTTTTTAGACCCCAAATTTTTTGAAAAAGGGTGTGCCTTATCCATGGAGAAATATGGTATCTCACTATCTCTTTTCAATCTCTACTCCTTGGAATTATATTTCCCACTCTTTTTGCCTTTAATTTATATTATTTTTGAGCAACCCCCCGCCATGTTTTCTTCCATATTGCTGGAGGCTATGGCCTTTCAGTTCTATGACTTATAACAGTGTCAAGAGATGCTATCACTGTTACAAGCCAGGACAATAGGAATCACAGTTCAACCCCATTCCCAGGCAACCATGGGACGTGCACAGATCCACCTCCTTTATGGCTTCCTTTTAGAGTGAAAACAATATGGATTCTAAAGCAGTAGTTTGTGGGTGTGTCTTTTAATGGAAGTAGAGGGTCATCTATTATCTTCTGAACAACTTTTCCCTTCAAGTTTGCAGTTTTATTCCCTTAGTTTATATACTTACATGTCTACTTATTTCTTGTTTGAAAAATAGAGTATGTAAAAGAATAAGCCATAATTCTACTACTCAGATATTTTCTACACATATAAATGCATAATATATGTAATATATAAATTGTTGCTATCATATCCTAATTTCCTATAATCAGATTTTTAAATGAACAATGTATTGTGGATATAGTCCCATGTCTATGCATTCAGAGCAATAGCATTATTACTAATGACTGTAGTGTTTTATGGTACCCACAGGCCATGTTATAAGAAGTCCTTTATTTTCAGGTATTCAGGTTGTTTCTCATATATCGCAACTATTTACAATGCTCCAGTGATCGTGCATGTGCATATATCTTCATTCATTTGTCCATTGATTTCTTTAAGGTAAGTCTTAGGGAAAGTAAATGTTAAGTCAGGGGCATACACATTTTAAAGATTTTTTAATAACATGCCAGATTGGTCTCCAAAAGGGTTACACCAAGTTACACTCACAATAGCAGTTTATGAAAATGCTTTTTTTCTCTATACTCTAGACACTACTGGGTGTTCCAATTTGATTTTAAATTTAAAGAGTGAGGAGGAGGCATCCCACAGGGCTTGAGTGTCCCTGCATTGGGCCACATCAGATTTATGGTATAAAGGCTTGTTACCCAGGGCCTGAGTCATGGCAATGTGGGCATGTTTTTTTTTTCTATTACCCAGAATTCTATGAATCAGATCTAATAACTATTTCAGTCACTACCAATATAACCACATTTCAGAGACAACCCAGATTGGAAAAAGCTATGAATTTTTTTTAATCAAAAATTCCCATGGATGTGATAATAGGAAATGTCCCTTTAGTTCTCTTTAGATTGGGGCAATACTATTGTTTCACTTGAAATTCCCTATCTCATTTTCAACATGGGGGGATCTAATTTATAGATATGTTTCCAGGCATAAGTGGTACTCTATCTAGTCCTAACTTAAAATGTCAATCATAAGAGAACAGCCACTGCAACTTAAGCATGTAGATGTCTACTTTTTGTATACGCATCACAAACCTGACAAGCCTATTTAATTTTACTTGTTCCAGCCTGTTGCTTTGTTCATTTAACCATGATGATAATTTTCAGTCCTTAGCAAGGAGAAGTCAGAAATAAACTTAAGTACTGACAGAGCCAATTCATATTAGGATAACAATTCCAAATGGGACAAAAATTTGCAGTGCTTGAATACAACAGAAGGGGAAGAATGGTGATAGTTAATCAAATGAGTGGTTGTATTTATGATCTCCCTTAGGATTTTAATGTTTTCACAAAAGGTTCTTGGAAAACTTCCCTGAGTATTCAAACATTCCTATAAAACTTGTTATCCATTCATTTTACTAACTGATTCTAAATATGATTAGAAACTTCATAAATCTTAAGGCAAAATTAAGGTTAGAGAGCTCCCACTATGATCTGATTTTATTATGCTGTGATTTGTTGGTGCCCAGAAACCTAATAGCTTTGAACTTCTGAGATAAATTCTTTAGGATAGATCTATCAGGGATGGATATAGCTTCCTCTTGTTACCTGTGTTATTTATTTATTTTTATTTTGGTTTCCTAATATGCCAACAGAATAATGCTATTAAGGTTTTGGGGCTATGGGAAAAAGAGACAAAATTGTCACTGACTCACTCTAAAATAAAAGAAAAACATGTATATTTTGAAAAATTGTCTCATCTATTCATAATTAATCTAGTTATTCTTTCAATAATTTATTCAGCTAACATTTACTAAATATCAACAACAAGCACATCTTTGGTTGGACATAATCTGGAGGAATCCCGATGTCTTAAATTAGGATCCTAAAATAGGATTTCCATTGGTTTCTTCCTGGAGCAAGACGCCCTTCTGACCTAGGACCACTTTAAAAGTCTTTGTTTAAACAAAGGTTTTTAGGTTTGGCTCCCCAGGGAAGTCCTAGTCTTTCTATTATCTTACTATTCCTCTTCTCTCTTTTTTTTCTTTCTGGGAACTAGTTGATTTCTCTTCATTGAAAGGGTTTAATTTTCCCCAGTAGATGGATATCCAGTCTGGCATCCTAGCAGAAGAAAGCCATGGCTTCAAATTCTAGAGCTGAAAACATTACATATTTGTCCCATTGCTCTCCAATTCATACCTCACTGACAACAGTAGACATGCCAAGTGATTTCTTGAATTTGTGCATTTGCGGCTATATTTCCTGATTGCCAAGCCCTTCTGCATCTCTGTCTAGGCACTGAAATGTCTTTGGTCCATTCTACGTGCCCCTTCCTGAGATCAGCCCCCTAATGACTGTATTTTCTTCGCATTCCTCTTCCATGGTTCCATTAGTTCAAGTACAGTTTTAGACACTCATTACCAAGACTACAACACTGTGCTGGGGTTTTTTGTTGTTGTTGTTGTTGTTTTTTTTGTTAAATTTAGCTAGCAGAACAGTTTAAATCTAAAATGTTTCCATTCCATACTTGAATGGGACAGATGAGAAAAACCAGGCTCCTCTTTTAAATATGTGATGTCCACATTCCCTGTAGGAGCAGAGTTTGGTGACAAGGAATAGTCTCTTTCTTTCAAAGTGAACACAAGATAAGATCAGGACCTTTATAGATGTAATCATACTGTCACGCTTACAAAATACCTTGAGGAAGTATAAGTTTTGACTGTCAAATTTAAAAGGTTGATCAAGTTACTAGTCCCTTGACATTCTTTAAGGATATATCCAAGAGACCTTCGCTAATAGTCAACTTTCTAAATGTCACTCTAGTCCACACATTTTTGTGGATTACTCATGTTAATAGGCGATAGGCCATCTATGCAAAAAGGTAGTGAGCATTAAATAATATCAAACATCCACGCCTACTTCCCGATGACAACTCTACTTCATGTTTGATGATTACTTCTTCCCCATGACATGTATTTATGGTGGAGTGGTAAATGCAGATGACTGCCCTTCCATTATAGAAGACAGAATGGTCCAGTCCATCATATTTTTTTCCTTTGCTACTCCAGTATAACCACGTGGAGGACAAATCACCAAACTCTCACCAAATCAAATGACCAAAACAAATCAACTGCATGATCATGAATCTTCGATGAAGAAACACAGATATAAAAGGAACGGGGTTCATTTACTCTAGAGGCATCGTCTACTTGAAAATATTAAGAGGGTCCTGCTACCAGGAATGTCTACAGATGTTTGGCTTGGCTCATAGTCCTATACCAAGTTTATTATTTTATTTTTCTCTGAGCTTATGATCCTTGTTTCTGTACTTTAAAGAAGTTTCCTTTCCTTGGTTTTGTTTTTGCCAACACATAAATCCAAGTGAGAAAGGTGATTTATTAAATTACAGTTACAAATTCCCATTGAGACTAGTACACTAAGGCGTTAGCTAAGCTCACTTACTACCCAGATCAACTATTCCCTCCACAACCTCTTTTCAGAATAATTCAATAGTGTGCCTGAAAATTAAAAAGTACTATACTAGTATTTTTAATAGCTAAAACCACATACACGAGCAGTCTACTGTTCTATGACAATACAGTTAACATGAACACTGTGATTCTGGAAGTACATGGCTTTAACAGGCAGTTGGCAAAAATTCTGCCTAGAATTTGATCCACATCTTAAAGCGTGAGAAACCCAGGGCTGTGGTTGCCTCCATCGCCTTGTAGGAATTTTCTTAGTGTGTTACTAGTTTAAGAAAATACTGGTGCAACCTCTAAAGAGCCCTTCTTCTTGTTGGCAGGTCACTCCCGTTCTTCCGTGGTATTAGGGGATGACATTTATTCCCTATTTCTAATTCTTTATTTTTCCATGTGAAGATCGCTCCATTATGTTAGCTCTCCTGCCTCTTCCTGCTTCCTTTACTCTCTTGTCTCCTTGGTCATCAGAGTTGTTTATTTGATTGGGAACTTGGGAGCAAGACTTTGTCAGTTTAACCCGTTCTCTTCACCTTCATCATCAGGGCAGGCTGCTTACAGATGCATTCGAGCCAGACACTCCGCACTGACAATGTTAGAGGGCAGGCTGCCACGTTAGGGAGGCCAGCAGCTGTCCAGCACTTCCTGGGACTGATGGGTAAATCTATCCCGTGCTGGAGTTAAATGCTGGGAAGCCGATGTTTTGCCACACATGGAAATAATATTCTCAGATATTAACTGCATTATTAATAAAAGTGGTATCTGGCTCTCCACTTGCCTAGTGTTCTGACTTATTAAACCTCACTTTGTTCTGAACTTGGGAAACTAGAATGGAAGATGTCCCCCCCACCCCCAAAATCTATTCGTAGTAATTGGAACTTACCGTATCAAAATTTCCCCAACAGGTCCTGATCTTCCTGAGAAACCTCAAAGAAGTTAAAGAAGTGTTCTGGATTTTTGCAGACGATGTTTCTTCTATACCTGGAGTAAGACAACATACATCTCATATTTTTAAATCATACTATACAAATGAAAACAAATTTAGGGTTAGATATTCCTGCCTGCCACACTCCCCTAATAGAATGTAATCATTTGAAATGATGCAATATTCAGCTTTTTAATATAGATCATTATATATGAATATATGACTATATATATTTACTTTAGTTTATTCATCTCTAGATTTGCTCGTCTTTCTTTTGTCAATGTTTATTGCACTGTGTCATGTGTATTTCATTGGAGAGGCTTTCTACAAATAGTTTTTTTGTATATATATTAGAAAGACTTTTTGATTTTACCTCATCCCTCTGTCATGAGTTCTAAGCAATACAGATAATAATCAGTTTGTTTCAACCCTAATAGCCAAATGCACAAAATAAACAAACAAACAAACAAAACCTAGAAAATATACATTGTAACTTACAGATTTCTCAGTTTGGCATAGTAACAAGATAATAAGTAAATGCAGGCATTGGATTAAGTATCAGAACTGGATCCACTTCGTAACACTACCATAATTAGCCAGGCAATTTGGAGCAAGTTTCCAAATCTTGCTGAGTCTTAATCTCTCCACATATAAAATTAAGGGCTTTGTACAAAATTGCCTCTGTGGCCCCTTCCATCTTTCAAATTCTAAGGATGTGGTTTGATGTATGTAGAATGGTTAAGAAGAATTGATGGTAGCAAAACTGCCATGTTTAGGTAAAGCCTGAACTTTTTAGTAAACTTATTATGTGTGTCCAATAATCGACTTCTCGTTCTGCTAGGCAAGTACCATATTTGCCGGCGTATAAGACGATTTTTTGGCCCTGAAAAATATGCCTCCAAGTGGGGGGTCGTCTTATAAGCCAGGTACACTTCAGATAGACTGCCCATAGTGCTTGCCCCGTGCCATAGTGGCCTCCCGATGCCCGCCCACTTCATTC